TTAACTACTGCACCACGAGGGCTCCACTTTCCACACCAAAAAAACAAAAATCAAACCCGTTGCCTTCAAGTCAATTCCGACTCATAGTGATCCTACAGAACAGAGTAGAACTGCTCCGCAGAATTTCCAAGGGGCTCCTGGTGGATTCAAACTGCCGACCTTCTGGTTAGCAGCCGTAGCTCTTAACCACTACGTCACCAGGGTTTCCTAAAGCTATTTTAGACATTTAATATAAGAAAGAAGATTCCTGAGTAAGACCCAGTCTCCACCACTGGTAACATTGTGATTTTAGGCAAATCACTTAAACGCTCTTTGCCTCAATTTCTTCAGCCATAAACTGAGATTAACTATAACAGGTACCAAATAGCTTACTGCCCAGACTGAATGACAATAGACCAGTGCCTGAATACAGTATTTAATGAGTCAGAATCGATTCGATCGCAACTATCAAGTTACATGCGTCAAAATCAATGAAAAATAGTAAAAATTATTCAATAAATGGAATGGGAAAAACTTCTTAGCAAACTTTAAAACTATCGCAAAGGACCTTCAACTCTTAGCATGTGGCAAGAAGCAACCATACTCCAAATAAAATACATCAATAGTTAAAAAAAATTTTTTTTGCAGCAAATGCAAAATAAAGGTTTTAATAAAATAGTATTTAAGGAGTCCTGGTGGCACAGTGGTTAAGCACTCAGCAGCTAACTGAAAGGTTGGCAGTTCAAACCCACCAGCCACTCCACAGGAGAAAAATGTGGTAGTCTGCTTCCATAAAGATTTACAGCCTTGGAAACCCTATGGGGCAGTTCTACCTTGTCCTACAGAGTCACTATGAGTCGCAAGGAACTTGACAGTAATGGGTGGGATGTGTGTGTGGTGGTGCAGTGGTTAAGCGCTTGGCTGCTAACCAAAAGGTTGATGTTCAAACCCATTAGTTGCTCTGGGAAAAAAGACCAGGCCATCAGCTCCCATAAAGATTATTGCCTAGTAAGCCCTAAGAGGCAGTACTACTCTGCCCTATAGGGTCACTATGTGTTGGAATTGACTCAACGGCACATAACAACAGAATAGTATTTGGCAGATAATTTTCTCAAAATGAAAATAATATAATTAGTATTGGAATAAAAAAAAGTCAGGATGAAAGAAAAAGCAGTAGACTGAACACTCAGATGAGACTAAGTGGTTTGGGAGAAAGCTGCTTCTTAAAACCCGTTGGGCAGCCTATATCAGAACCAGCTGAGGTTATTATTAATTCAGATTCCTAGTACCTGCCCCAAGACCTAAATAGGAATCTTTGAGGGTAGGATCCAAGACTTCGCATTTTAGTACATACATCATGTGATTTCTGGTAAAAATAGGAACCACAAAAACTCTGTTGGTCTATAAATTCATGGCCTTTTAACATGGTTATGAACACTTGAATAAAACCCTAAACACTAAAACTCTAAAATCAGATACTTTCTTTAATTATTGAGCAACAATTTAGGACTAGGTTTCAGTTTTATTACCAGATAACTAAATCAATAAACTAGAAAAACCACTGGAAGTAACAAATCTACCTCTTCCCGCCAAAGAAACTGATTGAAAGCTCTTGATCAATGAAACAAAATTGTGGGGGAAAATTGCAGTGGGGAATTAGTCTGAACTAACAGCATGTTTGTCAGCAGTAATATTTAACATTTGTTTTGTCTTTGCTTGCTTTGGTTTTTTAAAACCAGCATCTGATGTCTTACAAGATATTTCTGAATTACTATTTACTCATGGCTATTTTAAGAATTTTGGCTGATGAGCTAAAATATTGCATATTTAATAATAATATATCATAGTCTCACTAGAAAAAGAGGAAAATGTGAAAAAATTTTCTCCTTGTCTTCTACTTTCCAATCTTATTAGAACATAAGTAGATATACTGCATACTTTTTTTTTTTTTAATCTCATCTTGGACGAACAAATCATTATAAGACAATAAGTGCTTCTCAAACTTTAACAAGCATTCAGATCACCTAAGGGGTCTTGTTAAAAAATAGATTCTGATTCAGTAGGTGGGGTGGTATCTGATAATGTGCATCCAACAAGTTCCAGCCTTTGCTACTAGTCTGGGAACCACACTTTGAGAATCAAGAAGTTAGATGATACATGTGAGACACCTGTAAATTGGGTAGATAACTGAAAATTTTCTTTCTTTCAGCCAAGATTTACAATTCCATTCAGATAATAATTTAGCTCTCATATATTAAGAGCAGCACAGAGAGTATACACATAAACTAAAACCTTATTCAATTAAGCAAGTTTTAAAAAATAGCAAAGGCACTGAGATCAGATCTCGCTTTCCTCTCACTTGTAATTAACTGTAACTCTTTGAGAAGTTGAGTCACCTCAGAGCCTCCGTTTCCTCACATAAAATCACTGGTTGTCAAGACTGAGAAAAAAAAAAAAGAATGCAGGCTGATTTAACAGCATGCCTGGGAAATTCCAAACATGATCAATACTTGAGTCTCTGGTAACTTCAATTCTGGCAGGTGTTGGGGTATATTCTGCACTGCCCTAACACATCAGTACACTAAGTACCAAGAAAAGAATTGCTAACCGCACGAATTCCCCCAAGAAGCTTTTAAAATACAGAGATGTGAACACTGGTGTCTCTTGAATTAAGCCGAACACAATTATGCCCTTTCCCTCTTAGGAGATATGCAAGTGCAAAACTAATAGAAAGTTACAAAAGAACAACCTGGAAGGAAAGATTAAGAGGTGAGATGACATCCAGCAATAATAATGCCTCGGGTTAGTGAAAAATTGGACGTGAGAGACACAAGAAGAAAAGTGAACAAAGCTAACATTTTCAGGGGACACATGGTCTTAACGCGCCTCGGTGGGAACGCACTGCTGGGTCCTCCTGAAAAGAAGGCAGGCACTGCGCGCACGCCTACGCAACTTTGCTGCCTGGATGCAGGGGCCGCTCTCCGCGGCCCTCCCGGCTCCACCGCTCTGCGTGCCGCCCGTGGACCTTACGTACCGCCGCAGAGCTTTAGAAGTCCAGACCCTGCCGCACCATCAGGGCAACATCCACGAGTGAAGTACAGGGCCCCAGAGGACGCGGAGCTGGCTCCTGCGTTCGCAGCGGGGGCCTTGGCGATTGCAAACGCTCAGACCAACCCAAAAAGCCAAAGAGCCAAGGCGATGGGGGGAAAGGCACTGCAGATTCTCCCCCAATGACCCTGTCACTTCTGTCGGTTCTGCCCGCCTATCGGCTGATTCTGATTCTAACGCAAGGATAACCCATCCAATCCACGAAGCCCTTCTTAGACTAAAGCGCTCATTGGTGACCGAGGGAAATACGCTAACTGTTGAACTGACGGGTCCAATGAGAAGCCAGAAATACTCGATTGGACCTAGCGACTCGCCGTCCACCCAACACTACCGAAGAAACTTGGTTCCAGCTGAGAAACTGTGTCGCTTTCTCGACTACATTTCCCAGCGTTCTGAGGTTGAAAGCTTTTCCCTCCTGCGTTCAGAAATTCAGATTGAATGTTTCTTCTTTAGCAACTCTTCCAGTTCTAATAAAGCAGTTTAATAAGATTTCATGGTATATAATCATTAATTTTTTTTCAGTTTTTATTATGAACTTTTCTTGAATTTGCTTCATTTTCCGTTGGTGTCCTCTCTGTCTCGCTAGCAGCGCGAAGGCAGCAAAGTAGCTTTTTGTTGGGTTGGGTTTTTCGTTTGTTTTTAAGTAGTAGTTACCTCTTGGAACGAATTTTTCTTTTAAGGGATTTTGGAGCATATAGAGTTTTCTCACATTCCACGTGAATTTTTGTTTTGGTTTAATATTGTCTTCCATTTAGTTTAACAAAGTAAGAATTTATGTACGTGTTTTATTGATAGCCGTAACCTTTTTTTAGGTATAGATTTTATTTTATTTTTTTAAGTATTTCTCGAAATATAAACGTAATCTTTAAATTCTGCAGGCCAGTTTTTGAGAAAGAATAATGCACCCAGTAACCCCACTAAACAGATTCTGAATGCTCTCATTTACACATTGATACTGCCATCTAACATATATTAAAGTCAGAAGGAATTAAAAAATACCTCTAATGGGAAAGGAGTGTTGATAAGAATAAATTTCCCGGAGTGTGTTCTGTGCTGACGTCTCGTTTGCTTTGATTCGTCAGTAACTGAATAAAAACTTTAATTTCCTCGCATTCCCTTGAATTTCCTTGCAATCCTTGGTTATCCTTCTCTTCCTTCTAATCAACTGAAGAAGAAAAAAGGAGCAAATTAAAGCTACGTAGAAAACAATTACTGTTCTCTTTCGCGCTATTTGACTTGTAGCAAAAACAAGTCTGACATGGTTTTTGTTTCCCAAAACCACAAGAGGGAGTGGTGGTAGGTGAACAGGGTCTAAAACAAAAAGAGAAAATAGGTGACACATAATGTCTAGTGGTTGAAGCGCCAGCCTCATTTGTAACGTTCAGCCAGACCAATCAGCTGCTGGAATTGGAAAAAAAGAAAAATTGTAAAACGTAGAAAGTTGTAAAAAAGCAAATATAAGAAGTCCAAAAGGCACAGTCAGGTTGAACAACACATTTGGTTGAGTAAATGAAATTTCCTTCAGTATTGCTATTAAAAACAAAGGCTCAATAACCTGGAAAAGTACACTTGCCATTTTTTCTCAGGTTATTTTTTTACTACAGAAAAAGACAGTGGGATTTCCCCAGTTAGTAACTGATGACATAGGTTTTTGGCATTGTCCAGAGTATATGTGTTCAATAGAGTCTTTGTCCTTTGCAAGCACAATCCAAAATTAATCTTGCTTCTGCTATTAAAGTATTGATGAGACTAATTCTTCCTGGCAAACTGCTGTTAGAAAGAGTAGACGATCGGCAATAAAATGAAGAGGATATAGTCACAAAATATAATTACCAGTTGCCTAAGCACGTATGGGGGTCCTGGTGACACAGTGGTTAAGAGTTCAGGCTGCTAACCAAAAGGTCAGCAGTTCAAATCCACCAGCCGCTCCTTGGAAACCCTGTGGGGCAGATCTACTCTGTCGCTATGAGTCTGGAATTGACTCGACAGCAATGGGTTTAGGTTTTGGTAAGCACCTATGCCCTGGTGGTGCAGTGATTATAAAGCGCTTGACTGCTAACCGAAAGGTTGGCGATTCGAAACCACCAGCAGCTCCGTGGGAGAAAGATGTGGCAATCTGCTACCGTAAAGATTTACAGCCTTGGAAACTCTATGAGGCAGTCTACTCTGTCCTACAGGATCACTATGAGTTGGAATCGACTTGATGGCAGTGGGTTTGAAGCACCTATGGGTTACAAGCTACAGGCAGTTCCTTTAAGATTCTAAGAATCTATATTCCCATAGCAAAAATGTATAAAGTTAATACCAGTGAAATTATACTACCTGCTACTATGAGTCATCACTTATTCTTAGCCTCAGCTAGCATGCCACAGGTCGCACGCAGCTGGAATGTCGAGTTTCTCAACAGGTGTGTTGTTTACACATGATTCAGATAATGGCAGTTTAATTCAATCAACTATTTAACCACCATTTTTTTAAGCACATACAATGTGCCAAAGACTGCTTTAGCTATGGATTCAAAGATAAGGAAAAACATAATCCCTGCCCTCAAGAAGCTCATGGTCTAGTGCAGTGGTTTCTGAAACTTTTGATTAAGCAGTCCTTCCAGTCAAGAAAAATTGAGCATACAGTTCTGATATCTGCATAGATATCTATTTACTCAATTCTGTAACTACTATAAAACTATTATGTAGATTGTAAAACATGTCAAAATGGAAAATTTCTAAAGGATGAGAAATAATTAAAAACAGAACCTCTGACTATCTATAGATGAAAATAAAATTGGATCCATATATTTCATCACTAAAAAAAAAATTCCAGATGGATTAAAAATTCAAGTGTAAAAAATATCAAAAATCTTTTACGAAAATCCTGGAGACCACAGGCACAAGCTGGAAGTAGAGAAGACCTTAAACGAAAATGGAAAATCAGAAGTTGGAAAACTTATTTGACTTGTTTTGAAAGCAATTTTTATTGGCAAAAAGATAATAAGCAATGTCAATAGACAATAGCTTTGGGGGGAAATATGCAACTCAGTGGGCAATATTCAAAAAGTGATTACAAATTGTCAAAAAGGGAATAAACAACAACCCCGTAGACGCTGGGCAAAGGATATAAACTAGCATTTAATAAAGAAAATCATGTGGCCAATAAGCATGCAAAGACATATAAACTCACTTGTAAGAAGGAAAATGCAAATTACTATGACAATGAGAATAATGACTTGATGTTGATCAGACCAGCAAACATCAAAGTGATAAAATATTGCTGGCAGAGGACTGTCATACATTGCTGTGGAAATGTAGATTATTATGGCCTTTTAAACAGCAATCTAGCAAAATCGGTATAAAAAGATAACATAGTCTTTGGCCTAGCAATCCCATTCTCAAGCATCTAAACCAAAGAAATAAAAAGCACCAGTATATACATAACAACAAAGATGTTTACTGCAGCATTGTTCATAGTGGCAAAAAAGAAAAACACATCAAATGAACCCATATCAACCGTAGAATGTTTTAGTAAGGCATGGTACATCTAGAGGCCATGGACCATTATGTACCCATTAAGAAAAATAAATTACAGATATAGAAGACAAGGTAGAGAAATTTCCACAATGTTAAGTGATAAAAGTAAGATGTTGAAAAGTATATATATGATCTCATTTTTTGAAACGATAAATCAATTCCTACAAATGTTTATTTAAGTACATATCTTTATGCTATTATGTGAGCAAGGAAAATAGATGCAATTTAGGTTCTCAGCATATATTACCTGAAAGGGTAGACAGGACCTGGGGAAGAGCCCACCACACAAAGAAAAGTTTAAAAACACAAACAAATTTTACTGGAAGTGGTGTAGACAGAGTTATACATATCATGTGCTAAGTTTGCATTTAGGTAAAATCATATATGTAAATGTAATAAAAATGTACTCAACAATAACAAAAAAGCCAGGAGTTTGGTTATAGGACAGAAGGGTATTTTAATTTCAGTCCCAGGGAACTGCTTTTTCAAGTATGAGTGACAAACTCAGGGACAAAACAGTTATGTATGAGGAGGATATATGATAAAAGGTTAAGACAGGAGGCAGGAAGGATAGTCAGTGGGCCCTCCTTAGGGACTCGGTGTCTGTAGGACTACATTAAAAAAACCTACATGGTGCAGTGTGGGTCAGATGACAAATCTGACTTTGACCACTTGCTAACTGTGCAACTTTGGACTAGTTGCTTAGCTACTGGGGGCCTTAGTTTCTTTCTCTGTGAAAAAGAGGAATCATGGCACCTGACTCCCAAAACTGATGTGGGGATTAAATAAAATAGTGTACGTGAGCACACCTAGCCCAGTGTTTAGCTGTTCCTTAAACGAAAATCCAGTCAAACGTCCGTGTGTAAAAATCTGCTCCCCAAAAAAGATCAGGTAAAAACTAATTTATAATGATTAAATTCATGAGTGTTTATTGATATTCTAACAAAAAAAAGGAAAAAGAGGAAAAAGAATAAAGAGAAGAGAAAAAGAAACATCATAGAGATGATGTTTAAAGAAGTTGAAGTAAATCAACTCATTTTTCTGAAAACTGGTGAATAACAGGAGAGAATCAAGTCAAGCATTTAACTTGCCCTTCTTATATGAACTATACTTCAGGTTCAAATCGTTGATGACGGATAATCATTCTGAACACTGGTAATAGTAAGGAACAAGCATTCAACCTGCTTTTCTTTACAAACAAGCCTCAAGGTAACCAATTTGGTAAGACATGAAAGGGAATGATTGGATATCACCATTTTGCATACTATTAATAAGATCTTGGATCTAGGCAATGTCATCAATAGCTGTTAATGAACATCATGTGCCTCCTGCTGAAAGTACACATCACCACCGATGAAATTTTCTTACCAAAAAATTGAGCCTGAATCAGATGAAGCTTTTATATCTTACTACTGGTTTACGGAAATTAAAAGGAGACAAAGGATTAAATGTCACCACGGGAAAGCAATCATCCTGAATGTGGGAAATTTCTACAGGACAAAAATCTGTTTCTCTGACAAAAAAAAGAAAAGGAGGAGGGAGGAGAAATCTGTAGATTGAAATAGA